TTTTCCCTATTTTTTACTAACCAGGCGTAAGAAATTTATCCAAACCAAAGGGAAGCCACAGAATTATGAAGCGGGCACATGTTTAGCCAGGTAGTTAGTTCCGGGCCAGTATAGTAGTTAGTCCAGGCAGCTATAGTTTAGTTTAGTCCAGGCAGATAGACGTTTACTCAGGCAGTAAGTTTTAGTCCAGGCAGTTTATAGTAGTTAGTCCAGGCAGTTTATAGTAGTTTAGTCCAGGCAGTATAGTAGTTTAGTCCAGGCAGTATAGTAGTTTAGTCCAGGCAGTATAGTAGTTTAGTCCAGGCAGTATAGTAGTTTAGTCCAGGCAGTATAGTAGTTTAGTCCAGGCAGTATAGTAGTTTCTATTAGGTCGGCAGGCTGTATGGTAGTTTTCGTCAGGGCAGTTATGGTTTAAGTAGTTTGTCCAGGGCAGTAGTTAGTAGTGTTTAGTCCGGGCAGTTATAGTAGTTTAGTCCAGGCCGTATAGTAGTTTGGTCAAGCAGGAAGTTCAGTTATGTTTCAGTTCCAGGCAGTATAGTAGTTGACTCCAGGCAGTATTCGTAGTTTACGTCCAGGCAGTATAGTAGTTTAGTCCAGGCAGTATAGTAGTTTAGTCCAGGCAGTATAGTCGTTTAGTCCAGGCAGTATAGTAGTTTAGTCCAGGCAGTATAGTAGTTTAGTCCAGGCTGTATAGTAGTTTAGTCCAGGCAGTATAGCAAGTTGGGTTCGAGGGAAAACAAGTAAGTGCTACCAAATATAACAATTTGCATTTCATAAATATTCTAATACAGTGTGCATATAAAACGTATTAAACACGTCTGTAAAACCACAATGAGGACATTGACCACTAAGCAAGTTTTCATAAATCATTGGGTACAGCGCAAGAAAAACGTCAGAGTAATCTGAAATGGGGGCATTAATTCATGTTTACATTTTACAACATAACATACATAGTCATTTCATCATTACGACCTTCAGGAAATAATGTCTGGAGGGTGAAAATCCCAAAACATTCTCTTTTAGCTCAGAGTATTATTTATATCACCTCCCCTGTCTGATATCTTAACTTTCTCTTTGCCACAAAATCTAAAGGTAGAAATGTCATGTTTTAGGCCATTAAAATGCACTGCGACAGGATAATCCCTGTCGTTTCTCCTGATTGAACTTTGATATTCACTAATTCTCTGTTTGAGTGAATGAGAGGTTTTACCTACATGACTCAGCCCACATGGACATTTAATCATGTAGATAACATGGGGTGGTGGAACATCTAATAATGTCATTTATTTGGAACCGTTTTCCTGTATGTGGGTGGCAGAAATATTCACACTTTATCACATTGTTGCACTGTGCGCAACCTCTGCATTTATCACTACCGTTCCAAAGACGGCGTAAAAGAGCCTGGATGATTTTCATTTGTGGCTGGCAGCTGGCATGGACCAATTTATCGAGTACATTGTGACCTCTCCTATAAGCGGTAGATTCTTAACTTCAGCTGGCAGAGCTGGGTCCGATGAAAAAACATGCCCCAGTGTTTCTTGACAGCATCTCCCACTTTTCGCGAGTTCAAAGTTTAATGTGGTGGTGAACATTCCAGAATGTTCTTTTTTAGCTCTAGTGGGTATTTTTTGTAGCAGTCCATCTCATGTTTTCCCTAATGCCAAATGAATAGCTTCATCCACACATTGTGGAGAGTAGCCTCTTCTTAGAAACCTATTGCGCATCTCCTCTGCTTTTCCTAGACAGTCCTCCGTGGAGTGGCATTTACGGCGCAGTCTGAAAAACGGGCTTCTTGGAAGTCCTCTTTTTAACGGCTCAGGGTGGAAGCTGTCCCCTTGTAATGTTTATGTCCGTTTCTTTTCTATACAGAGTTGTAAACAGGGTTCCAATTGATTTGTCAGTCCACATATCGAGGTGATGAACACGTTTAGTGTCACATTCAATTTGAGATTGGGGTCAAAGTCATTGAGTAATGCCATAAAGTCTGACAGCTCTTCTCCTCCCCATATGCAAAAAAATTCGTCAATATATCGATACCACTTCAGGACTTTATTCAAAAATGGATTTTCGTTTTCATTGTTAACTAAATGTTCTTCAAAAAGACCCACATACATCTATGCTCTTACCCAGAGCGACTTACATGAGCAATTAGGGTTAAGTGCCTTGCTCAAGGGCACATCGACAGATTTTCAACTAGTCGGCTCTGGGATTATAACCAGCGACCTTTCGGTTACCGGCACAACGCTCTTAACCACTAAGCTACCTGCCACCCCCGTATGGGTTAGCATAGCTCGGAGCGAATGTGTATCCCATCGATGTTCCATTCGCCTGGAGGTAGTATTCATCACCAAACCTGTAATAGTTATAAGTCAAAACATATTCAGCCAGCTCTAGAAGACAGTTAGTTGGTGGGTATTTGTTAGTATCTTGGTCTCTCAAAAAGTGAGCCAGGGCTGCCATCAACCCCCGTATGGGGAATGCTGGTATATAGACTCTCAGCAACTAGTGTGACCAAAATACAGTGTTCTGCTAATCCCGTTATTGGTGAGATCTTGTTTATGAAGTCTATAGAGTCTTTCACATATGATGGCAATGCTTGTACGTGAGATTTAATGAAAGAGTCTACGAAGTTCGACAATTGCTCTAACATTGAGCTTATTCCTGCAACCACTGGTCTGCCTGGTTAATTGCCTTGTTGTGTTTTTAGGTTTGTGTAATTTCGGCAAAATGTACAGGCATGGACGTATGGCACATTTGCAGCAAAGGTATTCATATTCAGGTTTTGAGATTAGGTTCTTTAATAGGGCTTGCTCCAGATTAGAGCTAATATCCCTTTGAAACACCTGTGTGGGATCAACACTCAGTTTTCTATAGAAACATATGTTACTGAGTTGTCTCTGAATCTCTTCTTTGTATTTTTCATAATCTAAAACGGTCACAGCACCCCCCTTGTCCGCAGGTTATCTGGGTATCTGAATGAAAGAGAGATTGGTTTTATAAACCAGTGTCTGACTGATATGAGGAGGCTATGGGATAAAGTGGGGACAGATAGGAGTATCCTACTAGATTAATTTACTTGATTAAAGATTATATCATGACGTAGACAGAAAGCCTTGATGAAAAAGATTTATGTACATTGAGATTTCATCTAATCCAAGCTATGAATCCTTCCCCTGAAGATGAAAACACTGCAAGCTGCTGGTCCTGTAGAACCACGGAATATGAAATGATTCCAGAACTGGTATGGAATTCTACTTTAGAACTACAACCAATTCTAGAACTACCACAATTCCATTAGGTTCTAGAATGGATGAATTTTTCTTATAAAGAAGATAAGGAATCTAATAGCCAAACCATTCACAAGTTTCATTTACATTAGTGTGTGTGATAATGATACACAGTGCCTAGTGAAAGTATACACACCCCTTGCACGGCCTTCACATTTTTCTACCTTAAAATTACATCTAAAAAGGATTACATTTGATTTTTAATTTTAATTTTAAGGATGAACATTTGTATAATTGTCTCGTTGAAATATAAAACTCTATCCCACGATTTTCAGATGACTGAGGCAGGTTTCACGCTAACATTTTACCTGAGCTTTGCTCCTTTCATATTTATTTCGATCCTGACAACCTCCCAAGTCCCTGCCCGAATACAAGCATACCCATAACATGATGCTGCCACTACAATACTTAACGATACAAAGGGATCAACAACATTGTGTTGTTTTGTATTGGATTTGACCCAAACCTGTAGTTTTTAATTGAATCCCAAAAAGTTAATGTCTTGGCCGTGTTGTCTTGCAGTATAGCTTTTTTTAATACAGGCTTTCTTCTTTCACTTTGTCATCCAGGCCAGTAATCTGGAGGGAATGTAGCTGGGACAGCGGATTGTCCTGGGCTTGTGGCTGTCTAAATCCCTGCTGTTTGTTGCTGTTTCCATCTGCCCTGCCACCTGACCTGTCTGGAATTGCGTGGGGTACCGGTCCTCCGTAGCTCAGCTGGTAGAGCACGGCGCTTGTAACGCCAGGGTAGTGGGTTCGATCCCCGGGACCACCCATACACAAAAATGTATGCACGCATGACTGTAAGTCGCTTTGGATAATAGTGACTGCTAAGTGGCATATTATTATTATTATTACCAGTGTTAGCCTGCATCGCTACCATGACATCCACAACCAAAGTAACTGAGAGGATATTGTTTCTCTATCACAGGTGAAGGTTCTTTTAAACTAGACTGATAGAGTCAACTAACAAAATAATGGACGATCTGACCAGAGAGGTCCAGGACCTTAAGAACAGTTTGTAATTCTCCCAAGTAGAGGTGGATGTCCCGACAGAGACTTACAGCAATATGACAACAAACTGTAAGTTCCCGCGAGATGACATCAGCACTGTCTGTGAATCATTATTAACAATGCCTTGGAAAACAGACTATTTAGAAGGATAATCCAGGAAGAATAACATAGTTGTGGATGGCATACCAGAGTCTTCACATGAGAACTGGTCTGAGTTATAGTGGTCAGGTGACAGACCCAGGCCGATAGTGGTCAGGTGACAGACCCAGGCCGATAGTGGTCAGGTGACAGACCCAGGCCGATAGTGGTCAGGTGACAGACCCAGGCCGATAGTGGTCAGGTGACAGACCCAGGCCGATAGTGGTCAGGTGACAGACCCAGGCCGATAGTGGTCAGGTGACAGACCCAGGCCGATAGTGGACAACTTCCTAAGGTTAAAGGACAAGATGGCTGTTCTGGAGAGAGCCAAAAACTTGAGAGGAACCAACATCTTCCTCAACGAGGACTACTCGGAAGCTGAGCGCTAGAGGCGGAAATAGCCTATTCCAGCCATGAAAGCTGCCAGAGAGTGTGGGGACATTGCTTACATCCAATAAAAATGCTCATTGTCCACCCTCCCTCCCAAAAGACTGGGAGGAGTGAGAGAGCCTAGCTTTGGGTCAGCAGCTTCAGCCCCACATCACACGCACTCACACGCACTCACACGCACACACACACACACACACACACACACACACACACACACACACACACACACACACACACACACACACACACCACACACACACACACACACACACACACACACACACACACACACACACACACGCACCAACTGACACTCATAAGTGCCTGATTGACTGATTCTATTAGACGAACAATGTTCTTGTCATGCATTGTCTTTTATTTATTTTGTATTTGTCTATCTGTGATAAGCTACCAAGGAAAAGCCAAAAAGTTGCCCTTATATTAATATATAAGGTTGGTCCTACAAAGCCAGAGCCCCCTGATGGGAGAGCATAATATTCAAGGAAATTCTCAAAGCTGCTAATGAGAACCTTGACGACCTTGTACTTAGCCGGTGGGGATTCCGGTGGGGTACCCCCACCCAGGTAGCGGCAGTGCTGGCAACACTGGCTGCAGTAACCCATGGGGAGGGGGTCACACTCGGACAATCAGAGAGGGGGAATATTATTGTGGCCCTGGTGGCACAAAATAATCAAAGGTCTGACTGCACAGAGATGCTTGGGAAAAATGGTTACAACGGGGGACCAGAGTGTTTGTGTCTCAGGGGAAGAGGGTGGATCTGATCTCCATCACCTAGGACTTGACATAGATTAAATAGATTAATCAAATCTCACATTGTTGTCAATGTATTGCTCAATATTGTATGCTTTCTCAAACAGCTGTAACTGTATATGCATTCGTAGTGTGTTAGAGTATGTGCGTGTGTGTTTATCCCACATCTGTTGCAAGGGGGTAAGGATGTTAGGGAGAATATAGGATGAACCACAATAATTATTTGCTAAAATAATAATTGCTTGTCAAAAATGTAATGTAATACAATGACAATCCGGGTTATAGGTTAAAATCCTACGCATGAACTGCCGACATTATTACGCATATTAATCGCTAATGATGGAAAATAAGATATGCAAGATATTTTAATGGATATATATTTTTAAATAGCTATATATATATATATATATATTGAGGTGAGAGCATTGGAAATGCTTTTGGTGGTTGCCCTGCTTCTGTTTTGTGGGTGGCACTGTGTGCTGTTTTCGATGGATGGGTCCTGGCCTCTCGGGGCCCTAGGGATACGGAGGGACGTGGGGGGGATGCTGATCACTGGGATGACGGCTCAACTTGGGATGGGGAGGGGCTTTAGCGGGGGAATTAGTGGAGAAGAATTGGAGGGTTACCTAGTAGCAATGCAAATATCACGGTACAGCTATATGGACAGTCAGTCGCTATGGTCTTTTTTATTGGTAAATTTACAAACATATATAATGATAAATAGATTTGAAACGTGTATCCCATTATGGTATGTGGTGACATAAGTATAGCCAGTTATAATTGTAATGGCTTAGCAGATAATAACAAAAGAATAACAATATTTACATGGCTCAAAGAGAAGGAATATAATATCTATTGTTTACAGGAAACTCATTCAACAATTCTAGATGAAGTTGGATGGAAAAAGGACTGGGGGGGGCGAAATATACTTCTCCCATGGGCAAAGAAACTCAATAGGGGTGATGATATTAATTAACAGTAATTTCGATCCAAATGTGAAAATTGTCCAAACAGATACACAAGGTAGATGGACCATAAACAGATATGGCTCATTAACCTTTACGGACCACATAATGATGATCCACACTTCTTTGACAATATATATAATACATTATCAACTCTGAAAGCAATTCAAGACTCTATTATAATGGTGGGAGATTAAATTACCGTTTTAAATAGCTCAATGGACCGTAAAGGAAATCACACTACAAACAATCACCCTCATGCTCTTAAGGAAATTGTGAATGTCATGGATACATTAGAACTAGTAGATATATGGAGGCTTACATATCCTGATCTAGTGAGATATACATGGCGGAGACTGAATCAAGCTAGTCGTCTTGACTTCTTTCTTATGTCATTCTCGTTGGCACCAAAAGTTTAAAAAGTGTTGATAGGGGACAGAATGCGGTCGAACCATCATATAATTGGCATATACATTACTCTTACTGAATTTCCAAGTGGGCGAGGATATTGGACATTTTATCAAAGCCTATTGGATGATAACTTGTTTTTAACTAGGACAGAGGAATTTATAACTGATTTTTTCCGACATAACATAGGTACAGCAAATCCCCTTATTGTATTGGACACATTTAAATGTGCCTTTAGAGGCCATGCAATTCAGTACTCATCTCGAAAACAAAAGCAATTTAGGTCAAAAGAGTTTATATTAAGAAAGGAAATAGAAGGTCTAACAGAACAGATAGATGGCAATAAAAACTGTAACATAGAGGCACAGAATAAATTAGAGGAAAAACAAAAAGAAATGGAGAAACTTATTCAAGAAAGATCAAGTGTAATATATTATTAAAATAAAGCAAACTGGATGGAATATGGGGAAAAATGCACCAGATACTTTTTTAATCTTCAACATAGGAATGCTACCAAAAATATTTTATTGAAACTGGTTACAAATGACGGAGTCACCCATGATTCACCAAACAATATTTTTAAAGTGGAAGCAAAGAGTACTTTAAGCATATGTTTTCATTTCAGCCTCCTCCATCTCCTCTAACCAAAAGCTAATTGTATGGATTTATTTTCTATTAATAAAGTAAAAATTAACAGCTGTACAGAAAGACACGTGTGAAGGCAAAATTACAGAGGAGGAACTTCTTGATGCAATTACAATCTTTAAGTCCTACAAATGATATTTTGAAGGAGGAAACAAAGTACAGCATATGTTTTCGTTTCAGTCGCCTCCATCTCCTCTAACTGAAGCAAATTGTAAAGATTACAACCAAATTATGTTAAATGTACTATATTATGTATTGGGATCACTAAAAAATTCAATTTTTACATTACGATGTAGTTTACCAATAAAATGGTCTGATGGTGATGTGGATATAATCGGAATACATATCCCAAAGGAAATAAATGATCTCACTTCATTACATTTTAATAGAAAGTTAGCAAAAATAGATAAGATCTTGCTACAATGGAAAGGTAAATACCTGTCAATTTGTGGAAAAATCACCCTGATTAACTCTTTAGTATTATCCCAGTTTACCTATTTGCTTATGGTCTTGCCGACGCCTAGCGAACAGTTTTTGAAATTATATGAGTAAAAAATATTCAAATTTATTTGGAATGGCAAGCCAGACCAAATTAAACGGGCCTATTTATATAATGAATATGAATTCAGAGGACAGAAACTATTAAATATTAAAGCATTAGACCTATCACTAAAAGCTAATTTGAGGGAAATACAGTGGCTTGCGAAAGTATTCACCCCCCTTGTTATTTTTCCTATTTTGTTGCCTTACAACCTGGAATTAAAATTGAGTTTGGGGGGGTTTGTATCATTTGATTTACACGCTTTTATCCAAAGCGACTTACAGTCATGTGTGCATACATTTTTACGTATGGGTGGTCCCAGGGATGGAACCCACTACCCTGGCGTTACAAGCGCCATGCTCTACCAATTGAGCTACAGAGGACCACGGTACTTCTCCACAATTTTGTCCACTCCTTGGTCTTCATGGTGCCGTTTGCTTGGTGGTGCCCCTTGCTTAGTGGTGTGGTAGACTGGGGTCTTTCAGAACAGTTGTATATATACTGAGATCATGTGACAGATCATGTGACACTTAGACTGTATTTAACTAATTATGTGACTTCTGAAGGTAATTGGTTGCACCAGATCTTTTTTAGGTGCTTCATAGCAAAAGGGGTTAATACATATGCATGCACCACTTTTCCGTTATTTATTTTTTATAATTTTCTGAAACAAGTAATTGTTTTCATTTCACTTCACCAATTTGGACTATTTTGTGTATGTCCATTACATGAAATCCAAATAAAAATCCATTTAAATTACAGGTTGTAATGCAACAAAATAGGAAAACCGCCAAGGGGGTTAAATACTTTTGCAAGGCACTGTATGTGTCACTTATATGGTCATACATTTGGCAGGAAGTTAAAAAATGCAGTGGGTTTCCACCTCATTTTGTGGGCAGTGGCCGCATATCCTGTCTTCTTTCTTCTACATATGGCGACCTCTCTCAATAGCAAGGCTATTGAGTCACTGAGTCAGTACATAGTCGAGGATTTGTTTTGGGTCAGTCAGTGGTCGGGTATTCTGCCACTGTGTACTCTGTTTAGGGCAAGGTAGCATTCCAATTTTCTCAGTTTTTTGGTTTATTCTTTCCAATATGTAAAGTAGTTCTCGTTTTGTTTTCTCATGATTTGGTTGGGTCTAATTGTGTTGTTGTTGTTGTTGTGCTGGGGCTCTGTGGGGTCTGTTTGTATTTGTGAACAGAGCCCCAGAACCAGCTGGCAGAGCTCTTCTCTAGGTTAATCTCCTTGCATGTTAGGGGTTTGTGATGGAAGGTTTGGTTTGGAGGAGATCTTGGTGGGCTATACTCAGACTTGTCTCAGGGTAGTAAGTTGGTGGCCTTTTGATATCACTCTAGTGGTGTGGGGGCTGTGTTTTGGTCAAGTCGGTTGGGTTATAATAGCCTTGGTTTCTCAAATGACTGCCTCGCCTGGTTCACCAACTACTTCTCAGATAGAGTTCAATGTGTCAAATCGGAGGGCCTGTTGTCTGGACCTATGGCAGTCTCTATGGGGGTGCCACACGGTTCAATTCTTGGGCCGACTCTTTTCTCCGTGTATATCAATGATGTCGCTCTTGCTGCTGGTGACTCTCAGATCCACCTCTACGCAGACGACACCATTTTGTATACATCTGGCCCTTCATTGGACACTGTGTTAACAAACCTCCAAACGAGCTTCAATCCCACACAACACTCCTTCAGTAGCCTCCAACTGCTCTTAAACACTAGTAAAACTAAATGCATGCTCTTCAATCGAACGCTGCTGGCACCCGCCCACCCGACTAGAATCACTACTCTCGACGGGTCTGACCTAGAGTATGTGGACAACTACAAATACCTAGGTGTCTGGTTAGACTGTAAACTCTCCTTCCAGACTCACATTAAGCATCTCCAATCCAAAGTCCAAATCTAGAATCGGCTTCCTATTTCGCAACAAAGCCTCCTTCACTCATGCTGCCAAACATGCCCTCATAAAACTGACTATCCTACCGATCCTTGACTTCGGCGATGTCATTTACAAAATAGCCTCCAACACTCTACTTAGCAAATTGGATGTAGTTTATCACAGTGCCATCTTTTTTGTCACCAAAGCCCCATATACTACCCACCACTGTGACCTGTACGCTCTTGTTGGCTGGTCCTCACTACATATTCGTCGCCAAACCCACTGGCTCCAGGCCATCGATAAATCACTGCTAGGCAAATCCCCGCCTTATCTTAGTACATTGGTCACCATAGCAACACCCACCCGTAGTATGCGCTCCAGCAGGTATATCTCACTTGTCATCCCCAAAGCCAACACCTCCTTTGGCCGCCATTCCTTCCAGTTCTCTGCTGCCAATGACTGGAACGAATTGCAAAAATCTCTGAAGCTGGAGACTCTTATCTCCCTCATTAACTTTAAGCATCAGTTGTCAGAGCACCTTACTGATCACTGCACCTGTACACAGCCCTTCTGAAATTAGCCCACCCAACTACCTCATCCCCATATTGTTATTTATTTTGTTCATTTGCACCCCAGTATCTCTATTTGCACATCATCTCTTGTACATCTATCATTCCAGTGTTAATACTAATTGTAATTATTTTGCACTATGGCCTATTTATTGCCTTACCTCCATAACTTGCTACATTTGCACACACTGTATATATATTTCCTGTTGAATTTTTGACTTTATGTTTTGTTGTACCCCATATGTAACTCTGTGTTGTTGTTTTTATCACACTGCTTTGCTTTATCTTGGACAGGTCGCAGTTTTAAATGAGAACTTGTTCTCAACTGGCTTACCTGGTTAAATAAAGGTTAAATAAAAAAATAAAAAAATATATGTCCTGCCTGGTTGGCCCTGTATCAATTGATGTAGTTCTGTCCTAATTGATGTATTTCTGTCCTTGAGTTGGACAGGGCCACAGTGTCCCCCGACCCCCCGTCTCAGCCTCCAGTATCTATGCTGCAATAGTCTATGTGCCGGGGGCTAGGCTCAGTCTGTCCTAAATGGTGTAATTCTCCTGTCTTATCTGGTGTCCTGTCTGAACTTAAGTATTCTCCCTCTATTTCTCCCCTCTCTCTCTCTCTCTCTCTCTCTCTCTCTCCTCTCGTCTCTCTCGCTCTCTCTCTCTCTCTCTCCTCTCTCTCTCTCTCTCTCTCTCTCTCCTCTCTCTCTCTCTCTCTCGCTCTCTTATCTCTCTCCCTCCCTTCCCGGAGGACCTGAGCCCTAGGACCATGCCTCAGGACTACCTGGCCTGATGACTCCTGGCTGTCTCCAGTCCACCTGGTCTTGCTGCTGCTCCAGTTTCTGTTGTTTTTGATGTGGCTATGGAACCCTGACCTGTTCACCGGACGTGCTACCTTGTCGTGCTGCTGGTCATCTATGAACGTTTGAACATCTTGAAGAACGATCTGGTCTTAATGGCCATGTACTGTTATAATCTCCACCCGGCACAGCCAGAATAGGACTGGCCACCCCTCAGAGCCTGGTTACTCACTAGGTTTCTTCCTAGGCTCCTGCCTTTCTAGGGAGATTTTCCTAGCCACCGTGTTTCTACATCTGCATTGCTTGGGGTTTTAGGCTGGGATTCTGTATAAGCACTTTATGACATCTGCTGATGTAAAAAGGGCTTAATAAACACATTTGATTGATTGATTGGGCACCGCTTTCCTTTAGGTTGTTGTGGAATTTAACGGCTCTTTTCTGGATTTTGGTAATTAGTGGGTATAGGACTAATTCTGCTCTGCATGCATTACTTGTGGTTTTGCGTTGTACTCTGAGGATTTTTTTTGCAGAATTCTGCATGCAGTGTCAATTGGGTGTTTGTCCCATTTTGTGAATTCTTGGTTGTTGAGTGGACCCCAGATCTCACAACCATAGAGGGCAATGGGTTCTATAACTGATTGGAGTATTATTAGCCAAATCCTGATTGGGATGTTGAGTTTTATGTTCCTTTTGATGGCATAGAAGGCCCTTCTTGCCTTGTCTCTCAGATCGTTCACAGCTTTGTGGAAGTTACCTGTGGCGCTGATGTTTAGGCCGAGGTATGTGTAATTCTTTGTCTGCTCTAGGGCAACATTGTCTAGGTAGAATTTATATTTGTGGTCCTGGCATCTGGACCTTTTTTGGAAACCATTATTTTTGTCTGTCAGACAGAATCTGTCCAGAATATCTAGGTGCTTTTGTAGGCTCTCCTTGGTTGGGGACAGAAGCACCAGATCATCAGCAAACAGTAGACATTTGATTTCAGATTCTAGTAGGGTGAGGCCGGATGCTGCAGACTGTTCTAGTGCCCTCGCCAATTCATTAATATAAATGTTGAAGAGGGTGGGGCTTAAACTGCATCCCTGTCTCACCCCCCGGCCCTGAGGAAATAAATATGTGATATGTTTTTGCTCTTGGTTCTTTGTTATGTGTCTGAAAAGATTGGAGAAGTGGTTTATCTATTCATCTCCATTTTGGATAGATAGCGCTTCGTGTTGTTGTTTGTTTAGTGTGTTCCAATTTTCCCAGAAGTGATTAGAGTCTATGGAGTCTTCAATCACAATGAGCTGTTTTCCTTCTTTTTTTTCTCAGTGTATTTCTGTACTGTTTTAGTTTCCCAGCTCTCCACTCACCCTCCCTCCCTCTCTCTGTATGTCCTATGTACTGTAGCCAGCACTCTCCTCCCCTCCTCCCTCCTCCTCCTCTCCCTATCAGATTTTACTGTCAGCACTGTCCACCTGAAATTAAATTACAGTTCATTTATCAGATATGTGTGTGTCTTTGTGTGTGTGTCTTTGTGTGTGTGTGTGTGTGTGTGTGTGTGTGTGTGTGTGTGTGTGTGTGTGTGTGTGTCTATTTGGAGAGAGGGGAGCGCGTCACTGCAGATTAAATCTTTGGAGAATAATCTCTATTCCTGGGTAACAGAATGCAAACCAGGGATTAGAATCAAGCCCAGACTGGTCCCCTCATCTCATCTACCAGAGGGGAAAGGGGCAGGAGAAGGGACAGGGGCAGGAGAGGGGACAGGGGCAGGAGAAGGGACAGGGGCAGAGAGGGGAAGGGCAGGGGGGACAGGGGCAGGAGAGGGGACAGGGGCAGGAGAGGGGACAGGGTCAGAAGGGGACAGGGGCAGGAGAGGGGACAGGGGCAGGAGAGGGGACAGGGGCAGGAGAGGGACAGGGGCAGGAGAGGGGACAGGGGCAGGAGAGGGGACAGGGTCAGGAGAGGGGACAGGGGCAGAAGGGCAGCAGAGGGGACAGGGCAGGAGAGGGGACAGGGGCAGGAGAGGGGACAGGGGCAGGAGAGGGGACAGGGCAGGAGGGGGACAGGGGCAGGAGAGGGACAGGGGCAGGAGAGGGGACAGGGGCAGGAGAGGGGACAGGGGCAGGAGAGGGACAGGGGCAGGAGAGGGGACAGGGGCAGGAAGAGGGGACAGGGGCAGGAGAGGGGACAGGGGCAGAGGAGAGGGACAGGGGGACAGGGAGAGGGGACAGGGGCAGGAGAGGGGACAAGGGGCAGGAGAGGGGACAGGGGACAGGGGCAAGGAGATGGGAAAGGGGCAGGAGAGGGGACAGGGGCAGGAGAGGGGAACAAGGGGGCAGGAAGAGGGGACAGGGGAGGAGAGGGGACAGGGGCACAGGAGAGGGGACAGGGGCAGGAGAGGGGGACAGGGCAGGAGATGGGAAAGGGGCAGGAGAGGGGGACAGGGGGGCAGGAGAGGACAGGGGCAGGAGAGGGGACAGGGGCAGGAGAGGGGACAGGGGCAGGAGAGGGGACAGGGGCAGGAGAGGGGACAGGGGCAGGAGAGGGGACAGGGGCAGGAGAGGGGACAGGGGCAGGAGAGGGGACAGGGGCAGGAGAGACTTGCATGCTTTTGATAATAGAGATTGCTATTAATTAATATGATTATTTATTATTTATTTTCTATTGATAAAGATACTCCGATGTAAGACCCTACGCCTGCTCCCTAACAAAGCAGGGTGAAGGTAGGAAAGACATGAAACGCAGATCAAAAAAAGCATGGGCTTCGGCGTCGTTTCAAAATATATATATTTTTATATGACAGCGGTTCCACACATTGCCGTGACGCAAGTTGTGTGGGAAAAATATTGTATTTTATTTTATTCTGTTAGATTTAATTATATTCTTAGCCTACTATGCAATATATGTGTGTTGACCGTGATCAGGGTAGGCTAAGTGTGTCTTGTCTGTTTAATGAACAAAATGAACAAACATTTTGATTCAATCGACCAGTAACTTGAACTCTAAATATGCCGTTCTATTATTTTGAAAATACATGTTGTTAGTCTTATGATGTTTCTTAGGACCTGCCTACACTAATGAATGATGGATTTCTTTGTGATGGTGTACGTTCAACGGATTTATTAAAATAGACGTCCACCCACATCAGCCCACATCTACTCCCAGTCCTAAACATTCCAGCATTGTTTCCACTGGAGATATAAACGGCTTATCACCGGCAAGAACCTGGTGAAAATGGGACTGTATAAATTTAGTTCATAAAACTGCCTATTTTTTTTATTTTGTTTACAGGCAACATACTGTAAAGTCTGTCTGTAAAGGGTAAAACATACAGAGGGAGAGAATTACAAGCCACACACACACACACACACACACACACACAGACACTGCTGTACACACACTGTCCTGACCAGGCCCAGCCACCCCCTCCTCCACCACACACAGCCCAACCCTGATCTCTGTGCCAATCTAGCTAACCGTAAGTGTCAGTGCCAGGAGGCTGTAAAGAAAATGGCCCCTGCCCTAATGTTGTATTTTATGTGATGCTGCCGCAGTGGGTGTGTGTGTGTGTGTGTGTGTGTGTGTGTGTGTGTGTGTGTGTGTGTGTGTGTGTGTGTGTGTGTGTGTGTGTGTGTGTGTGTGTGTGTGTGTGTGTGTGTGTGTGTGTGTGTGTGTGTGTGTGTGTGTGTGTGTGTGTGTGATCAGAACGCTAGATCAGACAGTGCCATTACAGAGCCAGGGGCATGGTGTTCACCCCAGTTGACATTATACAACTGTGAATGGTGTGACATTGAGATTTTTTAGCAAATGTCATCTTCTGAATAGCGACAGGGTATATTAAAACCATTAAAGGGGCACTGTGAAATCCCTTTTATTCAGTTCATCAGCAGTTCTGTCTCTAAGCGCTTCACTATGTGGGAAGCATGACGGTTGATTGTTAAACGGAAAATTGATCGTTAAGCCAACCCCACCCTGAGAGAGTGGGTTATTTTGCAGTGTGTGTGTGTGTGTGTGTGTGTGTGTGTGTGTGTGTGTGTGGGTGTGTGTGTATGTGTGTGTGTGTGTGTGTGTCAGCACGCAACCTATAGTTCAGTCTAATGTGTGAAGGCATTACTGTTCTCCTAAAGAGCTCACCTTCACAGCTGTTTTCCTCTTCATCCTCCCTCTTCTTCCTCTCCTCCCCTCTGTCTCTCCTCTATCTCCTGTATTTCTCTCCTCTCCTCTCCTCTCCTCTCCTCTCCTCTCCTCTCCTCTCCTCTCCTCTCCTCTCCTCTCCTCTCTGCGTCCCTCCCATTCCCAGGGTGGTTGTCATCATGTGCAGTAATTTATACATGTCCTCTAGACCACCTGGTCCCCACACACCTGGTCCCCACTCACCTGGTCCCCACTCACCTGGTCCCCACTCACCAGGTCCCCACACACCTGGTCCCCACTCCCCTGGTCCCCACTCACCAGGTCCCCACACACCTGGTCCCCACTCCCCTGGTCCCCACTCACCTGGTCCCCACACACCTGGTCCCCACTCACCTGGTCCCCACTCACCAGGTCCCCACACACCTGGTCCCCACTCCCCTGGTCCCCACTCACCTGGTCCCCACACACCTGGTCCCCACTCACCTGGTCCCCACTCACCAGGTCCCCACACACCTGGTCCCCACTCCCCTGGTCCCCACTCACCTGGTCCCCACACACCTGGTCCCCACTCACCTGGTCCCCACTCACCTGGACCCCACACACCTGGTCCCCACACACCTGTTATGCCAAGCCTAAATAAGTTCAGGAGCAAAAATGTGCTTAACAAGTCGTATAATAAGTTGCACAAAATAGTGTTTAACATGATTTTTAAATGACTATTCAAATAGCCACCCTTTGCCTTGATGACAGCTTTGTACACTCTTGGCATTCTCTCAACCAGCATCATGAGGTAGTCACCTGGAATGCATTTCAATTTACAGGTGTGCATTCTTAAAAGTTAATTTGTGGAATTTCTTTCCTTTTTAATGCGTTTGAGCCAATCAGTTGTGTTGTGACAAGGTAGGGAGGGGTATACAGAAGATAGCCCTATTTGGTAAAAGACCAAGTCCATATTATGGCAAGAACAGCTCAAATAAGCAAAGAGAAACGACAGTCCATCATTACTTTAAGACATATAGGTCAATACGGAAATTGTCAAGTACTTTGTAAAACCCATCAAGTGCTATGATGAAACTGGCTCTCATGAGGACCGCCACAGGAATGGAAGACCCAGAGTTAACTCTGCTGCAGAGAATAATTTCATTAGAGTTACCAGCCTCAGAAATTGCAGCCCAAATAAATGCTTCACAGAGTTCAAGTAACAGACACATCTCAACATCAACTGTTCAGAGGAGACCTTGTGAATCAGGCCTTCATGGTCGAATTACTGCAAAGACACCACTATTAAAGGACACCAATAATAAGAAGACACTTACTTGGGACAAGAAACAGGTGGAATGGACATTAGACCGGTGGAAATGTGTCCTTTGGTCTGGAGTCCAAATTGGAGATTTTTGGTTCCAACTGCTGTGTCTTTGTGAGACGTAATGTGGGTGAACGGATGATCTCTGCATGTGTATTTCCCACCGTAAAGCATGGAGGAGGAGGTGTTATGGTGTGGGGGTGCTTTGCTGGTGACACTGTCTGTGATTTATTTAGAATTCAAGGCACACTTAACCAGCATGGCTACCACAGCATTCTGCAGCGATACGCCATCCCATCTGGTTTGGGCTTAGTGGGACTATCATTTGTTTTTCAACAGGACAATGACCAAACACACCTCCAGGCTGTGGAAGGGCTATTTTACAAAGAAGGAGAGTGATGGAGTGCTGCATCAGATGACCTGTCCTCCACAATCACCCGACCTCAACCAAATTGAGATGGTTTGGGATGAGTCGGACCGCAGAGTGAAGGAAAAGCAGCCAACATGTGCTCAGCATATGTGGGAACTCCTTCAAGACTGTTGGAAAATCATTCCTCATGAAGCTGGGTGAGAGAATGCCAAGAGTATGCAAAGCTGTCATCAAGGCAAAGGTTGGATATTTGAAGAATCTAAAATATAAAATATATTTTGATTTGTTTAACTCTTTTTTGGTGTCTACGTGATTCCATATTTCATAGTTTTGATGTCTCCACTATTATTCTACAATGTAGAAAATAGTGAAATATTAAGAAAAACCCTTGAATGAGTAGGTGTTCTAAAACTTTTTACCGGTAGTGTACCTTTGAGCATGGTGAAGCTATTAATTACACTTTGGATGTTGTATCAATACACCCAGTCAATACAAAGATACAGGTGTCCTTCCTAACTCAGTTGCCAGAGAGAAAGGAATCTGCTCAGGGATTTCACCATGAGGCCAATGGTGACTTTAAAACAGTTACATAGTTTAATGACTGTTATAGGAGAAAACTGAGGATGGATCAACAACATTGTAGTTACTCCACAATACTAACCTAATTGACAGAGTGAAAAGAAGGAAGCCTGTACAGAATAAAAATATTCCAAAACATGCATTCTGTTTTCAACAACGCACTAAATTAAAACTGCTAAAAATTTGGCAAAGCAATTAACTTTTTGTCCTGAATACAAAGTGTTATGTTTGGGGCAAATCCAATACAACACATTACTGAGTACCACTCTCCATATTTTCAAACATAGTGGTGGCTGCATCATGTTATGGATATGCTTGTAATCTTTAAGGACTGGGGAGTTTTTCAGGATAAAAAAGAAATGGCTAAGCATAGGCAAAATCTTAGAGAAAAACCTGATTCAGTCTGCTTTCCACCAGACACTGGGAGATTAATTCACCTTTCAGCAGGACAATAAGCTAAAACACAAGGCCAAATATACACTGGAGTTGCTTACCAAGAAGACAGTGAATGTTCCTGAGTGGCAGAGTTACAGTTTTGACTTAAATCTGCTTGAAAATCTATGGCAAGACTTAAATGGTTGTCTAGCAACGATCAACAACCAACTTGACAGAGCTTGAAGAATTTTGAAGAATAATGAGCAAATATTGTACAATCCAGGTGTGCAAAGCTCTTAGAGACTTACCCAGAAAGACTCACAGCTTTAATTGCTGCCAAAGGTGATTCTAACATGTATTGGTGTGTGAATAGTTATGTAAATTCGATATTTCTGTATTTAATTTTCAAAAAAAATGTACAAAAACGTCTAAAAACATTTAGTTCACTTTGTCATTATGGGGTATAGTGTATAGATGGTTAAGAAAAAATCGATTAACACATTTTGAATTCAGGTTGTAACACAGCACAATGTGGAAAAGGTCAAGGGGTGTGAATACTTTCTAAGGGCACTGTATTACAGTGTCTTACGGTGTTTGACCAGGTGTGTGCTCTCTAGTTTGGGAGAGGGACCATTCACCCTGCTCCGTTGAGCTTTATCTCTGATGGTTGTTAACTTTTAGCTCCCTACCTCAGCCCACAGAAACCTGTCACACCGGCTGGCTAAATACCTCTAATCTACACCACATAGACTTGATGGCAGTTACATCTACAGAAATAAAATAGATGATATTCCTATTATTGAGTCCAAAAACCATTATTTCCCCGTCCTCTTACGGTGGTATTTAACCAGACTTTCGAGGACGGGGTTAAGGATGAGAGAGGACCAGGGGTAAGGAGAGGGGAAAGGGGTACAGGGGAGAGGGTTAGGAGGGAGGGGACAGGGTAAGGAGATAGGTACCGGGTAAGAGGAGGGCAGGGTAAGGAGAGAGGGACAGGGTTAAGGTAGGAGGGGACAGGGTAAGGAGAGAGGTGGACAGGGTAAGGGAGGGGCGGTAAGGAGGAGGGGACCGGGTACATGGAGAGTAGGGACCAGGTAAGGAGGGAGGGGACCAGGTTAGGAAGTTAGGGACGGGTTAAGGGGAGGGTACAGGGTTAAGGAGAGGTGGGACAGGGTTAAGGAGAGAGGTGGAAGGGTACATGAGGGAGTGGGGACAGGGTAAGGAGGGTAGGGGACAGGGGATAGGTAGAGAGGGGACAGGGTAGGAGGAGGAGGGACAGGGTAAAGAGGGACGGGACGGTAAGGAGGAGGGGACAGGTAGGAGGGGAGGGGACAGGGTAAGGAGAGAGGGGACAGGGTAAGGATGAGGGGACAGGGTAGGGAGAGGAGGGGACGTGAGGGAAGGGACAGGGTAAGGATAGGAGGACAGGGTACAGAGGGACAGGGTAAGGAGAGAGGGGACAGGGTAAGGAGAGAGGGGACAGGGTAAGGAGGGAGGGGACAGGGTAAGGAGAGAGGGGACAGGGTAAGGAGAGAGGGGACAGGGTAAGGAGGGAGGGTACAGAGAGAGAGGGGACAGGTTAAGGAGGAGGGGACCGGTAAGGAGGAGCGAGCAGGGTAAGGAGAGGAGGGTGTAAGGAGGATGGGGACAGGGTGTAAGGAGAGAGGGGACAGGTAAGGCGAGCGGGGAGGTAGGAGGAGGCGTAAGGACAGGGGGAGGAGGGGACAGGGTAGGTAGGAGGGGACAGGTAAGGAGAGAGGGGAACAGGGTAAGGAGAGGGGACAGGTAAGGATAGAGGAGGGACAGGTGTAAGGAGGATGGGACAGGGTAAGGAGAGAGGAGACAGGGTAAGAGAGAGGGGACAGGTAAGGAGAGAGGGGACAGGGTAAGGAGGGGAGGGGACAGGAGTAAGAGAGAGGGGACAGGTGTAAGGAGAGATAGGACAGGGTAGGAGAGAGGGGGACAGGGTAGGAGAGAGGGGACAGGGACAGGGTAAGGAGAGGGGGACAGGGGTAAGGAGAGGGACAGGAAGGTGGGAAGGGACGGAGAGTGGGACCGGTAAGGGAGAGGGGACAGGGACAGGGTAAGGAGAAGGGGACAGGTTAAAGGAGAGAGGGGACAGGGTAAGAGGAGGGAGGGGACAGGGGACAGGTAAGGAGAGAGGGGACAGGGTAAGGAGAGAGGGGACAGGGACGACGGGTAAGGAGAGGGGGGTACGGAGGTAAGGAGGAGAGGGGACAGGGTAAGGAGAGAGGAGGGTAAGGAGAGAGGGGACAGGTAGGAGAGAGGAGACAGGGTAAGGAGGAGGGGACAGGGTAAGGAGAGGAGGGGACAGGGTAAGGAGAGGGGACTGGGGGTAAGGAGAGAGGGGACAGGGTAAGGAGAGAGGGGAAGGACAGGGTAAGGGAGAGAGGGGACAGGGTAGGAGAGAGGGGGACAGGTTAGGAGGAGGGTACAGGGTAAGGAGAGAGGGGACTCAAAGGGGCAGGAGAGAGGGGACGGGTAAGGAGAGGCGGTAGAGGGGACAGGGTAAGGAGAGAGGGGGTAAGGAGAGAGGGGACGGGTAAGGAAGGAGGAGGTGACGGGGACAGGGTAAGGAGAGAGGGGACGTGTAAGGAGAGAGGGGACAGGTAAGGAGGAGGGGACAGGGCAGGGTAAGGAGACGAGGGGACAGGGTAAGGAGAGAGGGGACAGTGGTAAGGAGAGGAAGACATGGTAAGGAGATGGGGACAGGGTAAGGAGAGAGGGGACAGGGGTACAGGTAGGAGAGGGGACAGGGTAAGGAGAGAGCAGGGTAAGGAGAGAGGGGACAGGGTAAGGAGAGAGGGGACAGGGGACAGGGTAAGGAGAGAGGGGACAGGGTAAGGAGAGAGGGGACAGGGTAAGGAGAGAGGGGACAGGGTAAGGAGAGAGGGGACAGAGGGGACAGGGAAAGGAGAGAGGGGACAGGGTAAGGAGAGAGGGGACAGGGTAAGGAGGAGAGGAGGGGTA